AAGAAACCAAATGCACCACAGTGATAGGAACTCAAGTCTGGAAGGTTCATTTGATTTCTCGTCTCAGGAACACAAAACATGAATAAATTCAACACAAGAAAAAAGAAAGCTAAAAACTAAAATATTAATTACCACAGTCCTGCATTGCAGATTCATTTTTTTAATCAGCGGTTGCAACATTATGGTGAGCTCACATTTCCGTTGCTACAACTGTTAATCCACAAACGTTTTGCACACACAGGGGCGTTTTGAAGAAATTCTGTCAAACTTTGTAATTTCTGTTTGACAATTGCAAGGTTTGGCAATTGAAAAGTAAATTCAGTGGGTAGAAAGGAAAAACAAACAAACAAACAAACAAACAAAAAAACAAAACAGAAATATTTCCTATTATCATTCAGAGAAGGAAGAATAAAAGCAACCCAGAAATGACCAAAAGATGCTAAAACCCTAAAATACTGTCTGTGGGAAGACAAAATATTTTACTAAAATGATAAACTAAATAAGACAAATCAATGCTAAATATGCATTTATTACTATTAATAATAAAGCAAAAAAAAAAAAAAAAAAGGCAAAAGGCATTTTTCATGTTCTGTTCACTTACTGTACCTTGCTCTTCTAATTTATAAAAGTTTTTGGGTCAGTAGAGTGCAGGGTCTTGCCAAACTTGGCCAATAAAACGGATTCTGATTCTTTTCATTCATTTTAATGCAATCAACAGAATCATGGATCATGAACGGATCACACATGTTTAGATTGTTATTTTGTTCTTTTTCTTACGATCATTTCACCCACCTTCTCGCAGGGCACAAGAGTAGCTCTCAAGTTTGACCTGAGCATCAACTTGAACAGATGCTTGACACTCTCCATACACCTGAAGGAAACAAATATATTTACACACTTACTTTGTATAAAGATGATTAAAAGGGAGACATTACAGAATTGTGCAACAGTTTTATTATTATTATTATTATTATTATTATTATTATTATTATTATTATTATTATTATTATTATTATTATTATTATTATTATTATTATTATGATATAGCACCTCAGTTTACATACACTGTAAAAAAACAAACTTGTTTATGGTAACATAAACGGGCAGCTGTGGTTGCCAGAATTTTACTGTATCTACAGTATATGGTGAAATTCTGGCAACTACAGCTGACAGTATTTTACCATAAACCAGAGATTGTTTTTTCTTTTTACAGCATATGTTTTTGTATTTAATCTTGATTAAGGCAGTTTTAGGGCTACGTAGGATCAGATTGATCAAAATAATAATAATAAAAATCAATTACAAATATCTGAATTTTAATTGTATTTTTAGGTATAACAACTGAAAAAAAACAATTTTTAAATAGCTGGATTGCTTTACAATCAATAACGGACAACAGAAAATAAATTGAATTTGAGGACAAATGCTAATGAGCACATTAAAAAAATCAAAACACAACAGTGTGGGATATTTGTGTGTGTGTGTGTGTGTGTGTGTGTGTGTGTGTGTGTGTGTGTGTGTGTGTGTGTGTGTGTGTGTGTGCGTGTGTGTGTGTGTGAGCTGTAATTTTACTGAAGTATAACACAAAACAGTTTTGGACTTACAGGGATATCTCCAAGACCTCTGACTTCACATTGTTTCCATGGTTTTTTGCTGATGCTGTGGCATTTGGTCTCCAGCACATCAATAGTCAAGTTGTAAACTGAACCACTCTTCTCCTGGGTACAACAATAAGATGTGTATTCTACAATTAAAAAACAAAAGTGAGACAGAGAAGGACAGAGAGAAGAAAAGGGGGAGAGCAAGAGCAAGGGTTCCCAAGTTGGAAATTGAACCCAGGATGGCTTCATCAAGGACCTTCTTTATGTAGGGTGTCCGTTCTTCCTATATGCTAGTGACAATCTATTAGGAGTATGGTTAATTAAAAAATATTGCAGATTGGAAAAGCAGCCAGACTAAAAATGTGAAGAGTGCCATTACATTCTCCGAGTATACTTTCTTCTGCAATATACTTTCTACGAGAACCCAAAATGTTGTCAAAATGCTGACAAAGTTGTACATATTAATTCTGTGCACGCATTAATATTTTCACCCAACCTGATTTGATGTGCTGGAGAGATCGTAGAGTCTGTTGAGAGTTAGGATGTATCCATCAGTCCGGTCCTGGTTGATCTGCTGCAGGACCTCTTCTGCCGTTCTCTCAACATCAGGGCTGTGACAGCCTTGTGACTCGACTTTGGCTTTCCCGTTATGGAAAAGTAATCCCAGTAACAGAACTAGAAAGGATACACTCATGTTCTTCTACACATACACAGTCTCTCTCACACAGGAGCAAACATACAATAGAAAAAAAATAAAAAAAAAAATCCTAGTTTTCACAAAGACTGTTCTGACAGACACAAGAAGGTAAATGCTTCTTGTGCCTTTCACCCCTCCCGCAATGGATGAGCAAACAGCTGATTGCATCTATTGCATGAAAGGCCAATGCCTGACTGACTGAGCGGTCATAGTTCAATGGGATATAAAGAACTTCAAGCCAGTGATTTAATAAATATGATACTCAACTCTGTCATTCAAATAATACATTACCTCCTTTAATTTTGTCACCTGATACTGATTTACAAGTGATATTCCAGTCCAACTCAAAAGTGCAAATTGTATTTTAAGTCACTTGCTCAATCGACTCACAAGGATCACATCAGGAGCAATCATTTAGAGCAGAGCTGCAATCAATCTGAGAAAAATCTTGATGCTCAGAACTGACTGACATGTCTGTTTTAAACCAGGGGATTTGAACCCAAGTTCTCAAGATCTACATGCCTGCAGGTTTTAGACTGAATAAGAATTCTTACTTTTAGGGAGATCTTGGTGTTTTTTCTTTTAATTTCTCTCAGAGGTTTGTATATATTAAAGTCTTCTTAAACTTTCTTTCTGAGGTTTATTTTCTAGGCCATGGAAATTGTACTCCAGTCCTCAAATGCCTGTGTCCTCCAGTTTTTAGATGTGTCCATTGTTCAGCAGAGCCGGGTCAAAGTGGCAGTTCTGTTGAACATTTGTGCAGTTGTGACGGTTTCTTGAAAACAACTTTGTTGTCTTTCAGCAAATTTGCTACTAATTTGATGTTTCATAAAGGTTATGATCCATTTACACCAAAACCTTTTGCTTCAGTTATGATGCAATCTACTTTGAAAATTAAAACTTTATTGTGATTGTTTTTTAACAGCTCATCACAACCTTTAACTTGAAATGACTCAATAGGTCAGTCTAGGGAAAACTTTGTTTTTCAATTTTGCAACTGAAGAGGCCCACTGATAACGACTATTTGCTTTGTCTGGAAATCTGATTGCATCAGTAAAAGTTCACAAAGACAAGGTATAAAGACTTTTTTTCAGTTTTAGCAACCTAGAGCACACAAAGGAGTAAAAGGCAATGAAAAGGCAGACAAATTAGCTAAATAGGGCTTTAGAGAGCATAATAACTATTACTTTTCCTTTTTGGGAAGGCAAATTAGTTAAGAGTAAATAAATAGAAATATGGCAAAAAAAATGTGGAATGAAGATAAGAAAGGAAGGTGTTTAAACAAAAGCCAACGTGAGTTAAAAATATTAATGAGAGAAAGGGAAGATCAAGTCATACCTGTCAAATGTCATTTTATGTGTTATTGGTCGGAAAAGTAGTGATAAATGTGAAGGATGTGGAGAAAAAGAAAATGTAGAACGTGTATTGATGAATTGTAAAATATGAGACTGAAAGAGAGAAACTGAGAAAAAATAGAATTTAATGAATGTAAGGTAGCATCGCTTCACATTCGGTGGCAGTATTCACCTGAAAGTTGCTTGTGATTAGCCTTAACAGAAAAGGAGAAGAAGAAGAAGCAGCCTCCGATGCCTGAGTGTTATTCTTCATGATAAACCAAACCCTCTGTGTTCCTGAACTTTCCTTGCTTGTTGAACCTTTTCAGGATTGCTGTGCTCATTTGGTCACCCCATTTGAAGTATTCTGGATTCCTTTGTTCAAGACCTCATCTGTACCATAAATGTTGGAACCCATCTCTGTGTCTGGCAGTTTTTACTCTCCATCATCCTCCTGAGTACTTAACCTGTCATTCACAGGTTGTCATTCACAATGACAGGGGTGTCAAACTCCAGTCCTCAAGGGTCGCTGTCCTGCAGTTGTTTAGATGTGCCACAGGTAAAAAACAGTGGAATGAAATGGCTTAATTACCTCCTCCCTGTGTAGATCGGTTCTCCTGAGCCTTGCTAATGACCTAATTATTCTTTTCAGGTGTGGTGCAGCAGAGGCACATCTAAAAGTTGCAGGACAGCAGCCCTTGAGGACTGGAGTTTGACACCCCTGTCACGAGAGGACCCGAATTTGGGTCCTCTCGTGAATGACAGGCTAACCTCTCATGTCTCAACACAGTGTTCTTGTTAGCGACTTCCAGTTCCTTCCAATACAGCCTAAGATTCATTATTAATTTTCTTGTAATAAAATCTTTAGATTTTACTTGTCTCCTCCGTGTCTGTGCATGTGGGTCAGAAGATTAGATACTAACATGACAGTTTGACATACTGTATATTTACTAGACTCTGGGTTAATCTAAAAAGGTCTGTAATACTCCATTACAACAATTTAAAAAATGCAAATGTAAACACTGCAATTCAGAGTTTAAATGTTTTCTGCACAAAACAGATTTGATCATGCTTCTTGGGGACATTGAACCAACACGAAACAGACAGCAACAAACTAAGCAAACTATCTGTTCAACACTTTTTGTGAAAATTATCAGTTTTTTGAACCCTTGAGAGACACCGGATTTCTTTTTTTTATTTAAAATCTCTGACACACAGGATTAAAAAAGAAAAAAATAAAATGTCTAATGATCCTGGTTTTAGTCAGTGAGCTTAGTTCAAAAAGACATTTAGGCACAGTCAGCTATACAGTTGCCATTTTTACCAATGACCCATTTTCAGATTCTGATCTTTGTTGTTCAGATGGCACAAATTAAAAGAAGTTTATTTTTATACACTTTGTCTTTATTAAATGGTCAAATAGGTGGCATTTCACAAGTTATGTATTCAATAATGACCAGGAAAAGTAGTTGTTACAATACTTAGACAATTAGTATCTGAATTCTCTCAGAAGTTTTGCTCTCTTTCAGGAGCAGTTAAGTCCCATCATGCAGCAGGCTTGAACAAGGGATCCTCTAAAAAGAGTTTGTTCACTAGACTCTTTCCTTCTGTTGGATTGGCACACTCTGCTGAGCGAGAGGTAGGGAAGGGCAGGATGGTTGGTTCAGTCTGTCCCGGAATACTGGGGTCAGGTTTGAGGGGCAGAGTGACTCCAACTTCAGGCCCACCTGCGGGAACGTCGGGGAAGGAAGGCAGGATCATTGGTTGGTCAATGGCAGGCAGAGTCCTTATCAAGCCTTCTGGTTTGTGTTGTTTGGTCTGATGCTCATGCAAGTGGTGATGGTGGTGATGTTCATGCTCATGCAGGTGAGTATGGTTATGCTCATGGTCATGGTCATGGCTCCCGCCATGATGACCGTGTTCGCGGCTCCTGTTATGATGACCGTGTCCGCGGCCCCTGCCCTGACCATGTTCATGGCTCCCGCCATGATGACCGTGTTCGCCTCTCCTGCCCTGACCATGTTCGTGGCTCCTGCCCTGACCATGTCTATGCCCATGTCCACGTGAGTGACCTTTGCCATGCTCTTTGTCATGGTCATGGCCCTTTCCATGTTCATGTCTGTGTGTGTCATTGTGTGGGTGGTCAGTTGCATCACCCAGCAGATGTTGTACTTTTTCTCTTTCAGCAGCCTGTGGAAAGTCAAGAAAATCAAGATTTGTATCATGTGGAACATTAGAGAAACGCATTTGAAGCTGGTATAAAAATGATACCAATAAAAGAGCTTATTACAGAAACTGTAGGTTACCTCTTGCTCATAGATTTCACACTCTACACTAATGTCTTCATCAGCAGCTGGGGTGTTTATGAGAGATGCCTTACAGAAGCCCTTGTGCTGAGAACAGAAGCATATTTTAAATGTAGTTTTCCACTCCATTCAGGTCACATGGTGAAAGCACATGTAAAAGGACCAATACAGATTTATGACCACATAAATTTTAAGGAAAATATTTTGATATGACTCACTGAGAATTCGCATGTCATGATAGGACACTTTTCACCTGCTGGTGACTGTTTAAACTTTCCGCAAACAGTCTCCTGAATAGTGTACTCCACATTGTAATACATGTCCATTGCCATCTGGAGACAAATGCAAGAAAAGAGAAAAGGTTTTTAAAATAGGATACAGCAGTAGAAAATATATATAATCAGGAGATTCTTACAAACTGTTCAATTGATGTAACTTGTCAAAATTTCAACTAAAGGCATCTTTTACCTTGCTTTAACTAGAACACAAAATAAGATGAGATAAATGGTATACAGTGCAATGTTTGTTTGGTATTATTTTATTTTATTTATTTATTTTACTTACGCCGGCAGAAGCGCGTAAGATTTTGAGCAGAGCAAAATGATTGTTCAGTCCACTTTCATTGTTGAACTTCTCCAGTGATCGAGACACAGTCTTCTGGACCTGTTCGGTGCCAAAGCTGATGAAAGTTGGACAGTCGGGGCAAATCTCTGTCACCCTGGCTGCAGGAACTGAGTAAATATAAAACATCCTTTTAGTGATTGGATATTGTAATAATGTGTTGCATTTGCTAATGCTAATCTCGCAAAGTTCTTTTTTATGAGAAATCTTAACTTTTAGCACAAATCCACACACACACAAGAATATTTAATACAATATTTTTTTTTCATACCCGGCCTAATAACACAGTTGTATTTGTAGAGACGAACCACTCTGTGTGGCTTATTGATGTAGATGGCAGCCTTGCATTGCCCATACACCTGCAAAAACACAGATATATATATATATATATATATATATATATATATATATATATATATATATATATATATATATATATATATATATATATATATATTTGTTTGAATTTTTTTTCCCCAAACATGGTTATTTCGTATTCCAATGGATTAGGAGTAGAGTCAACCTTATCAATAGAAAACAGAAAATATTAGTTTTGTTTTTAACCCTCAATTAATAGGTTGTTTGACAAACAACTTTAAAATTAGAACCATGGTGTCCTAGCTATTTTTATTTTTGCTTGAAGCATGCATTTTCATCTAACAACAGCAGTGCTTTTACTTTAAAGATGGATAGTGGAAGGAGTAGTTGTGTAGGAATTACCTTCATTTGTTTCCAAAGTGGGAATTTGGGTCTCAGAAGGATGTCAAACCTAATTTAATCACGTTCTGGGTGCAACTTGCAATGTAAATCTATGTTGTTAAATTTTTGGGGGGAATTAGTTAGATGTGTTACTTTAAGTACTGTAGCAGAACAATAACAAATATTGATTAAGAAGTTCTGCATATACATCTGAATTAATGAAGTATACACTAGCTGAAGTGCAACAAAATTGTTTTCTACTGTGGTTATGATCTAAGAAACAGCTGCTTTTCTTTATCTACCAGGGTGTATCTGATGAAACCCATCACACATAGTGTTAGATTAGATTTTTTAAAATCTTGATTTAGAGATGCTTATGTTTTACTTCTCCACAGGCAGAGGAGTAAAGATTATTAATTTCTATGCCTGTTCTGCCTATGTACTTTATAATAATTCACTGAGCTGCCATTAAGTTGCATTAGTTGCACCTTAAACAGATGATGTGAAAGGAGCCTGTTTCTGCTGACACCAAAAGTTAGCTATGAATGAATAAGTGATAAAGAACAAGTTGAAGGACATAATTTACTTGTGTGTTTATGTGTTAAGAATGAAGATTTGAGTTCTAACCGGCATCTGAGTTTCGGGACGAGCCTCGCATTGCTTCCAGTCCCTTCTACTGAGAACACTGCAGTTGGTCTCCACTACATCCAGAGTCAGATAATAAACTACTCCGTTTTCTCCCTGTAACACACAAATAACAATATATAAGGTAACAATGTGTGATTTGTCATATCTCCAAAGTTTTATCTTTCAATCAATGTACAAAAAAAAAAAAAAAAAAAAAAAAAAAACGTATTGGGTATTATATACTTTGCCAAGAAATACTCATCAGTGGGGCTCAATTGGTATTACTTACATGTCTATCCAGGTGGACATTGGAAAGCTGGTGCAGGCTGAAGACGTAGCCATCCACTCGATCAAGGTTGATCTTGCTGAGAGCTAAATGAGAAGCGCTCACAGCTGATGGATCTTCACAGGAACCTGGCTGGATGCCACCCTGCTCAACTGGTGCACTGTAGACGCTCCCCACTACCAGCAGGAACAGGACACAGGTCTTCATCGCAAAGCCCTGTCTTGACCCTATCTCTGTCAAACTTACTATGCCTCTTTCTCACACACCAACCAAACAGAGGAGAGATGCCAGGAGAGAGGAAAATGATGACCCTTTATATTCTTGCTGACTATCATACCCACTCACAAAGGCCATGTATCTCCTTTAACCTAGAGTCAACACAACCCTCGACCTCTGTTTCATTCCTAAACAGATCGTCACATCTAAGACTTTACTCCTACCGCTCCACCAACCAATCAGCTACAGCACAGACTTGCACAATGGAGTTTATCAGCCCTGTCTCCTCTTTAGGATCAATATGGTCGGGTGGTTCGGAGACCTTTGGTTGATTGGTGGAAGTCACGTGATCTTCTCTTGGCACTAACATTTAGTTTACTCAATGGCAAGGCTGATCCTAAAGGTTTAAAAATTAACATTTGCAGAAAGTCTTTAAAGCTTTAGTCAAAATTCAAAGAGAAGCAAACTGAAGTCTATAGAAGTGACATTTGGTAGTCAGTTGGAACATGAGACCATTTTGGTTCAGCACTTTGTCAAATTTTGAGTTATTCCTTTTCTGATTATCATCTGAATTTGGAAAACGAGTTTATATTTATTTTCAGATTTTGCAGAGATGTCTTTGACCTTTGTCCAAATAAATAAACAAGACAGAAAACCATTTACTAGAAAGTAAATATTTATGTGCAAAAGTACACCCATGTAGCAAATTGGTCACAAAGACCTGTTTATATGAATTTTTGAATGGCTCAATGTTGACTAAATGACTGGTAAAGATAAACCTCTGAAAGCAAATAGCCTTTGTACATTCCACCATCATCTAAATGACAGAATAGTAGAATATCCTTATGGCACTATACTTGTTTATCTGTTCACAAAATTATATTAGATATATTTATTACTGAGTCAAAATTTTTCAGTGGATAAATGCTGAAAATATAATTTAACTTTATTCATTTAGCAAATCTGCCATTTAAATCAAAGCAAATATTTAGAAGGTGCAAATTTATGTTATATACAGTGCCTCCATAAAGAATGTGCATTGCTTCATTTTATCCAAATTGTAATAAATCAATCTTTTTCATCAATCTTCTGACACACAAATACTCCATTATGACAATGTGGAAAAAAGCTTTTGAGATTTTTGCAAATTTATTAAAAATACCAAATCAAGACATCAAATCTAAGTGAGTATTCCCAACTGGAGATCAAAATAGATGGTCCCACAGTCTACAGGGCAAACAAACAGCTCAAAAACAGTATTCTCTTGAGGCACAAATCTGGGACAAAGATTGAACTCTTCAGTATGAATGACAGGGATCATGTTTGAAGGAAACAAGGCACGGCTCATCACCAGACGACATACCATCCCTGCAATGAAGCATGGCAATGACCCAAATGACAGGGGCCACTCAAAGGAGTGGCTTTAGAATTTGCTGGATTGGCCAAGTAGGAATCCAGATTTGAATCCGATTGAACATTTCTGGAGAGATCTGGCTGTGTAGAGATGTCTACATGAAACCTGATGGAGAAGTTTCTTCAATGAAGAATAAGCCAAATTGCCTTAAGATAGGTGAGATAAGTTTGTGGCATCATATTTGAAAAGACAAAGTATTGAGTAAAGGCTGTAAATATTTATATAAATGTGAGTAAGTGTTTCTATATTTTTAATCAATAAGTACAAATCTCTAACTTTTTCCTACATTGTCATAATGGGGTATTTATGTGTAGAATTTTCAGGAAATATTCATTTATACAATTTGGAAAGGCTGTAAAATAACCAAATGTGGAGAAAAGAGAAGTGCTGTGAATACTTCCTGAATGCACCGTATAAGCACAAATATAATTGGAAAAGGACAAATCAACATGACCTTTTATAACTGTGAAGACACTGAGTGCCTGAAGCTTGGAGCCAATGTCCTTAATCAAAGACCAGGTTTCCTCCTCTGTAAATCTTTCCCACATTTTCTGCAGCTGTCTTCAGTTTTTTTTTTTTTTTTTTTGTATGTTTGTTAGTGTTTTTGCTGTTCAGTGGAAAAGATGCTAAATAAAACTCCTGCAGAATATTTTCATTCATCGTATACCTAAATTCTAACCTCTTAGCTTGTTTGTGGTGATTTCTGTTTATGCGCACACACACAAAAAACAGATTTTAACTGTTGCACATTTTTTGTTGCTCATTAACTCAAATAAAAAAAAAAGCATACCAACTTTGCTTACCTAATCTGTAAAAAGGCTGCTGTTTGTACGTGACTGAAATCACAAACTTTGAGATAAAAGCTGTACAGGGTTAGAATTGCTCAATGGCCAGACTTTGCTCTTTTCACTGATCATTGCGTTGTTCCTCCCTCTTTCGCAGTTCCATTGCCTAATTTAAGCCTGTGGTTGTTTGTCTGTTCTGTTTCCATCATTCCCACCAACTTCAGCCTAGGCCTGAGCAAAAACACCGCTTCATAAAGAGCTGGAGGTCATTTGCATTGTGTGTTAGTTTCCTTCCTTAATTCCTGCTTCAAGTCCATTCAGAACCAAATTGGCACAAGGCTTTGTTTCAACATTTTAAAGTATTCTGAACAAAATAAATTAACTCCTTTTTCTTTCCTTTGTAATGCTGGTATTGGACTGCAAACACCATAAACATGTATCAGCTTAATAAATATTACTTGCCCTCTGCTTGTATTTTTTTTTATAAATCCAACTCAAAAAATGTACAACACAGATCACCTTGTTCCTTCTTTCTGTCTATTCGTTGGTCTGTCCATCCAAGACGCTGCTTTTGTGGATGGATAGATAATTTTGTGAAACTTGTTCAAGAACAGTATTATATCTGGGCATTTCAATGGTATACATACATAACTGTATGAACAGATGAATGTGGCACCTTGTCCAAACATCCCTGCTATAGTATCATAAAGGTACAAACACAACCTTTTTGCTTTCCTAACTTCCCACTGAATGGCTTTCAGAACTTCCTCCACATAAGCTATCTGAAACTCACAAAACAATGACAGCATCTGTTTTTGCCAAACAGCTTAAAAGCGTAGCAGTCATTGTAAACATCTCAATTTAACAAAACTAATGTGAAAATCTAGGTATTTATTTTTTTTTGGTCATATCATAGGAATATAGCTTTATTTTCAAAGACACTTATTTCAAACACAAGATGGTGCTGGAGTCCAAGTCCCTGTGAGACATGCATTCAACATGTTGCTGACAGATTTAAATCAGTGTTGCAGTGAAAAATGATGCGTTTGTTTAGGTCTACAATCAAAACACACTGAGCAATATTCACTCCAGAAAAAAAAAAAGACAAATAATAGTTTCTGTTCCACTCATCAACATTACTAGTAGAGAGACCAATGGTCATCTCAGGAGAAAAACACAGAGCCTAAATTATGATTAGAATCGTTTGAGTCTACACCAGTCAGCATATGTTCAACACTTCAAGCATTGAAAATAGAGGCAGCATCGATGGTCAGCTGTGATTTGCAAAAATGGTCTGTATGTGTTGAAAACAGAAATAATGATGAGCTCAGGGGCAGATGAAGAACAACTGTGGCTCTTGGCACAAAGTCGTGACTGTGAAACAGTTTATCTCATCTGAGTTTCAGCTCTGGCTGCTTGTACAGGGAGTATATAATAACCCCCTCATTGTGCCCAAGACTCGGACAGTTTTCAGGCACCTTCTTTGCAGTTTATACATCACACATTTGGTTTTCATTGCTTTGTATTCAATTTAAAAGCTAAAAACCCTTTCAACTAATATGAGTGGTAATATGAGAGGGAACACATACATATGGAGGGTTGTTCCTTAACCCACAGCTGAGATATTGAAATAAAGACTAATTCCTGCCTAACCCTCCAAAAATATTTACAGTATTGCTGATTGTGAAATGACGGCATAGCAATCTGAGAACTTCAATCAATCCAGCAAGACTCCTTATAAAGACATTGTGATGCTATCGCAATACCTTTAGGCTCCAATTCTTGCCCAGATGCCACAAAGTCTACCTGACAGATTGTTCTTGGAAAAGAAATAATCAAATTATATCCTTGAGGCATATAAAAATAAGTAAATGTACTTTAGAAACTAGTGGTTCAGTCTGTGTTCCATTCTATATCAAAAGGAAAGCTTCAAAATATATCGTATGAGGTAACATTTTATTTGAAGGGGTGTACATAAGACTGCATAAGTCGATCATAAAATGACAGCAACAAAAAGGCATTTATTAATATAATGCTTCAATTGTTGACTGTATGTTCTATGACTTTGTATTTTTGCGTTTTTATGAAATAAAGCACATTGAACTGTCTTGTTGCTGAAATGTGCTATACAAATAAACTTGACTTGACTTTAACTGTACCATGTTATGATTAGGAGCAAATTGGTCTGTATGCATGGATTTAATTTGCACCAGATTGAATTCAATAAAATGTGAAATTAACCCAACTGTCTTGAAACATGTGTTGGGACTAGCTTTATTTGGAATTGGAGGTTTATAATAAACTAAGTAAAACTAAAATTATAATTAAAAGCCAATACTGTTTGGCTGTTTTTTTTTTTTTAAAGAAGCCAAACAAACCAGAACAATCAAACAAAACCCCCCACATCAGTTTAATTTTCTTAAAGGAGCAATGTCATGTAAAATCAACTTTTTTTGAGCTTTACATCGCATTATAATGTCATTCCCTCATCGAAGACATACCTGGAGTATTGCCTTGATTCTTTCATGCGTGTTTGAGAAATCCTCTTATCTCCCATGACAACGATTCAGCTGTGCAAAATGCCTGGAGGAAATTAGCGCCGCCTTCGAGAAGCAGCTCCTCCTTGGAGCTGCAGTTTCCAAACTTCCATGCTTTTGCCTCACTGAGCAGTCCTCCCCCAAACCTCTCCCACTACTGGTTACTCTGCTCAGACTACCCAGCAGAAATTAGCAAACACCTGGTCGAACCGCACATCTCCTGAGCTCAATACACAATCTACTTCTCAGTGAAATCCTGGTAAAAACATAGTTAAAAGGGTTAATAGAGGAGCAAAGTTGTGTTAACTTCCTGAAGACTTCCTGAGTTTAAAAACTCAGAAGAGCATGAGGTTTTAAAGAGACAGAGGCCCAA